TACCCTTTAATTTTCCGTTTTAAATTTAAACCACGCATTGACATTTATTCTTTAATGAATCGTTAACAGAGAAGTTATCTGTTATGAAAGTATGGAAATATATTAGACCACAGGCCTGTCCGACCCTTTGCTCGTGAGTCGAAAACGCCTCCATCTCTCCGTCATCTCGGTACAGCTAGACGTAGCGAAAATAACAAAGGATAGGCGGCAGGGCTCCGCCCTCCGCCTCAATTCAATCCGAGTCATAGAATGAAGAAGCCGAGAGAGAACCCATTTCTCAAAATACAATTATAGTAGTTGTTTGTTATTTTGTTTATTATGCTCGCCAGTGTTACCCAAAATTTACAATAAAATTTAATCAAACGTTTCTACCTTTAATCTGGCGTCAACAGTGATTTTTACAACAACTTGTGATGATCAGATTAAAGGTGGAAATGTTTGATTTTATTGTAATTTTTGGATGTCACTGGCGAGCATAATAAACAAAATAAAAAACAGCTCTATAATTTATTTTGAGAAATAATCGAAATTTTTTTGAAAATTTAATTTAGTTTGCTCTAAAGCGTGCGCGTGTACATACAGAAAAATGCTACATATGTATAAATATGACTTGTTTTAAATAAATAATATGTGTATTTTAAAAGGGTATTTGATAATTCTACCGACAACGTTCGTGAATAAGAAAGAGCGCACTAAACTGAGTCGAATTGAATCCTTTACCATTTTGTAATTTTCGCAATAGTTAACAAGATATTAATTACTAAAATATTAGTTTTCAAGAATTTTTTACTCAAGTACTATCAACTTTACAGAAAAACAGCAAGAGACAAAAATTGTTAATTTAAATAAAGCTCTAGAAATTTTTTTCTGAATTTTTTATCAAACTTTTAATACTGCATTTTCTTATTAACAACTATTTTTACCAAAATGAGAAAATACGGTACTAAAAAATTCTGAAAAAATTCTTAGAGCCTCATGAAAAAAAAAAGACAATATTTGTCTCTTACTGTTTTTCTGTAAAGTTGATATTATTTGAGTAAAAAAATTCTTGAAAATCAATATTTTAATAATTAATATATTTTATAACTATTGCGAAAATTACAAAATGGTGAAGGACTCAATTCGACTCAGTTTAGTGCGC